ATAACATTAACAAACAACACCACTGAGATACCTGCGCAAAATGTCACACCTGTATACACCTGGTTAATTTCGTCACGGAAAAATCGAGCCAAAAAATTTAATCGAAAACCCAATGTGGATTTTTTTAACTGACATTTTTATTTTAACCTTATCGCTACAGACGCAAAACAGACAAGTAGAATGGTGCATCTAGTGGTCTATTTTTGTATTGATTGTAAGTGTTGATGTGTTGGAAAATCTCAACTACATAGTTGAGATAAACTCATAAATTTTGGGTCTGTATTTACGTCAGTAAAAAGTTTCCGGGGATTTTAATTTGTGGTGGGCTTTTTATAGATATTATTAATACGTTATTTTAAATATCTTCATAGAAATATACCACCATTATTAAATAAATTTTTGGATTTCAGATAAGAAGATATTTACAATTTTTTTAGTAATAATTAAATTTTGATATATTGGTAACAAAATAATAATGTACATGTAAATTAGTACACTAGAGTACTATCCGTTGCAAGATAATTCAGATGGAATTCCCAGACTGGGCCGATATCAAGCAGAAAATAATCTGGGTAATTCCATCCGAATTGTCTTGCAACGGATAGTACATTTTTATTTGCATATACTTTTTTAACATAAGAAGCAAATAACGTCACATTATTAATGATAGCTTAAAAAATACATATTAACATCACAAATTAACAATGCTGATCAGAAGAGGATATTACAGACACTTTGCTACAGTATAGAACTCAATGTTAATCAGTTTTTAAAAAACCTTTCTTTTAAAAGCTCATTAGTTTGTTTTCCGTTGAATATCAGATTGTAGACTATTGTAAAATGTAACACGCTCATTCAAAGGACTTCTCTCTGTTAGAGACAATCTCTGAAGTGGGAACTTCATATTAAGGCCTATTATATTATATTTGTGATTTGGAGGCTGGTGATAAACCAAAGTAAAATTTTTAAACGAGGACATAATACATTAAAATATATAGATGGCTGATAAAGTAAGTATAGTGATTTGAATCGGCCTCTACTGGATTCTCCCGCCTTTAATCAAAAGATCACCCGGACTGTCTTTTTTGGACTATCAAGACAGTTGATCTATCCACTGTAGTACCCCAGAATGTTACTCTATATCTCATAATAAAATAAAATTTAGCATAATATACTTATTCTTCTTCTTCTTTTTATATAGACATGACTGTCTGTTCTTCAGTGTGCATCCAGTAAGTTGTCGTTCCATCTTCTTCGTGGTCTTCTTTGATCGTCTTCCTATTGGGGAATCGTCTCTTGCCGTCTATTTGTTGTCATTCAACTTATATGATCGCTCCATTCTACTCTTCTAATTCTTACTCAGTTCTTGATGTTCTCCATCTTGCATCTACGTCGTCAATCTGTACTTATGTGATTATTGGTGTGATGACTGTTTTGTAAATTCTGCCTTTCGTTTTTTTTCCCGATATTTTTATTTCTCTATATTGTTTCATTCAGGCAACCGTCGGCTTTGGTTTGCTCTATTCACTTGGTCTTCCACTTCAGTTTCGAGCTTTCCGTAGCTAGATAATGTGATGCCTAGATATTTAAACTCCATCACTTGCTCTATTATCTGACCTTTCAGTTCCAATTTACATCTTAGTAAATTTGCTGTGGTAAACATGCATTTTGCCTTTTATGGGGAAATTAATATGTTCAATTTTCTGGCGGTTATATTAAATTGGTGCAGCATACGTTATAAATCATTTTCACTTTGAGAGAGTAGTATTGCGTCGTCTACATAGCAGATGATTTTATGTTGTTTTTTCTCCAATTTGGTAGTACTTACTTTTTTATTATTTTATCTGAAATCAGGTTAAACAATAGAGGACTCAGGGTATTTCCCTGTCTTATCCTATTGTTAGCTTCGATTGGGTTGGTTAGTTCTTCTTCTACTTTTACTTTTATTGTGTTGTGTTGGTAGATATTTTCGATCGTTTTGATTATTCTTAGAGGTATGTCCCTTGCATACAGTAAGTGGATAACGTCTGTAAGATCCACGAAATATAGATATGCCGATTTTTTTTATTCTAATGATTTCTCTTGCACTGACCTCATTATAAATATAGCGCAGGTGCATAATCTTCTTGACCTAAAACCTTGTTGTTCTTCTGCTTTATTACTTTGGTTGGTAATTTTAGTGTTGTGTTTAATAAATTATTTAGTCTGTAATTTTTCGGGTCCGATTTGTCTCCCTTTTTAAAGAGAGGTATTAGGAGGCTTACTGACTGATCACCATCAAATCTAGTTACAGATTTCTCTCCTTCAAGCCATCCTACAAGGAAAAATATTTGGAAAACGGGGCCCAGGAAGAAGAAGAACATTTTGATTTAAGAACCTCAGAATCTAATTTAATACAACATCTGTGCAGCTTTTCCGCGCTGCTGCAGATAAGATAAAGATTGCCATGATGATTGCCAACATTCGTAACGGATAGGCACATCAAGAAGAAGATTAGGATGCTTGATCTCCATTCTTGAGGAATTTATTTTGTTCTATTATTTTTTAGATTAGTTTTAATAGTTTTTTTGGTCAGATTTGGTACTTCATACTTTAATACCCTAATGCTTTCTTCATCTCTTTCTCCTTAATATTTATTTCTTCGTTTGTCGTCACCTCTGGTGTTGGTGGATGTTTCTTTATGAGTATGTTTCGTTTTTATTCATCTCTTCTCTTTATCCTCTAATCATTCTCCATTTTTTTTGTGTTCTGTAGAAGTCGTGTTCCATCTGTTTTGAGAAGCTCTGCCAGTGTTCCCTTTTTATTTGTAAAGTATTCGTTTAATTGCATAATGTACTGATAGTAAAATGTCCTGGTCTAGATAGATCTTCAATACACTCAATAAGAAACAAGCTGTATTCAGTTTTTTTGTCGTATTTTGTATTTGTCTCCCCCCAATTCAGATTCTGATCAATATGAAGATCAATAAATTTATCTGATCTAGCAGGTTCTGTGCTTTATAATAGGAAATTGACTGTATCTAGAACTGTTCTCGAGAGTGACTGGTTCTCAAGTAAACAAAAAATCTTATTAATATTAAGCTACAGTATATTTACACTGAACCACTGTTAAGCTTTGTTTAGAGTTTGCTCTGCCACCAGGAGAAGTGTTTCTAATGCTTGTCCCAAAACAGCACATTTGAGTCATCAGCGAGATTTACAAGGTTTGGGGAATCACTAACTAACATGTGGATCCCTCTCCAATCCAAAGCCATGCGGACTTTCAAAATCGAGATGGATTTCTTATTCCAAAAAAAAACAATTCCATTTTTGTATTCTTCGACCAAAAATCCATGTCAACGTAAATTTTCTTATATCATAATCAAGGTGGATTTTCTTGAATAAAAATCATGGTGGATTCTCTTGAATAAAAACCAAGGTGGATTCTCTTGAATAAAAACCAACGTGGATTCTCTTGAACAAAAACCAACGTGGATTCTCTTGAATAAAAACCAACGTGGCTAGAAAAACAAAAAACCGCTACAAAATTCGTCATGGCACGAGTTTTGTCCAACAACAGAAGAATTCTGGCAAGCGGAAAGCTCTTCTCTCTGAGACCTGTATACCGATCCAGAATTCTCTGATGTTGCCAAAACTCACAAATTAATAATTGTAATTAATAGATAAATTATTAAATGAAAAATGAAAAATAAAAAGTTGTGCGATAAATAAGATTTATATTGAATTATTATTATTACAGCAAAGGTAAAAAGAAAATAAAAATTGTAAGCAGTTTTAAAGTACTAGCGTACACAAAATTATACGAAAAACTAAAAGTGTTCTTGATTAAAGTATGAAAATATGTTGTTGTAAAAAGAGCAAAGTATTAACTTACCCAGACCGTTGGAAGTTTCTGACCACGAGGACTTATTTTTTTAATAATACCTTCTCGTTTGCTGGTTTATTTTAAAAAGAAATTAAGTCGGATCGAATTGATCGAAGTAAATTATTTAGGAGTGGGGTTTCTGTTTCTTGTACGATAAAGTAAGCGAAGGTAGGACTACGAGGGGACTTAAGAAATTAATCAGCGGATTTATTTGCAATAGGAAAATATTGAAATAAAATATAGGAATACAAACAAGGGAAAAAGAACTTATTATCAATGAAAATCAAATAGTATGAGCAGAAAATAGTGGAAAGTACTTTGAAATTTAATAAGAACAAAAATGTAACGTTTTAAACGTTACAAAGCCACAATTAAAGATAAAAATACGTTTATTGACGTTTTAATTTCCACTTCGGAAATCGTTCTCACAATACAAAAGGTTTGTATTTGAGAACGATTTCCGAAGTGGAAATTATTTTTATCTTTAATTGTGGCTTATTTCCAGTTAAATAGTAATTAATTTAAAATGCCACAAGAAAATAGCTTCAGAACAATGTCTTTTAAATAGACCTAAAAGAGAAATATCCCCAAGACGCTCCCCTTATCCATTTCAATGCTAGTTCCTGTATGCCATAACGGTGTAAACCCTGCTGCGAACTACTAAATAAGTTGTTTGTAGTAAAAAAAGTTTTGTAGTCTGGAATATATTGCTTTTTCGAATATTTTTGAGAATGACGAAAGAAAGCTTATTGGTCTACAGTTGTTCATCTTAGTAGCATCACATTTTTATGTAGTTGCTTGACAATTGCCAGTTTTGGCTTTGAAAAATTTTCCTTGCATGGAAGAATTAATAACTATAAAAGAGAGAGGAAGAGAAATCTCTGATGAAACAAATTTAATTAAGTTGGTTGATATTTCATCATAATCTAAGCTATGCTTGTTTTTTTAAGTTATTTATTAGGTGGCGATATACTATTTAAGAGATTAACAGAGACTTGGAGAAATGATGCGCCATTATAGCCATGGTACATCCTTACTGGTAACAATTCAGCTGTACTTAAATATGAAAGAATAAATAAAAACTGGGTAAAAATCCAAATTTGTTTATTGTTTGGTAACTTTCGTGTCTTTTACAGGAAAAACCTGGTGAATCAGGAAGCCAAATTCCAAAGTAAACTCAATGAACTCACGAAGGAGCTTGCAATCCGAGATGCTGAAGCACACAAACTCAAATTTCAGATGGAAGAACTCCAAAGGGATGCTTTTGCTAAATCCGCTGGAATGGATAGTAAGTTAAACTAACCTCTGATTAATAATTTAGTTTCAAATGGTTAACTTACTTTTACTAAACCATCAAAACGTAATACAAATAGATTAAGCGCTGCAATGCAGGCCCATTCCTCCAGTGCGACATAGAAAACTGACTCAAAGCAGTCCGTCCACCTCTTTCTAATGGACCGGGTTTATCGACCACGTGACCTTCCCATTGGTCATTTAGATCGCGTGGTCAATAAAAGGAGCCAATTAGAAAGAGATATAGGGACTGATTTGCTTCAGTTTTTCTGTCGCACTGGGGGAACGGGCACTGGGAGACAAAAATGCCACTAAACCTCTAAAAATCATACAAGCGAGCTAAATTTTGTCATGAAAATGTCAATTTTTGGACCGCAAAAAGGATGCACAAGTTTCCCCTTTTACACTTTGGCTTCCCCCTGAAACGCCCCTCGTACGGGGGAGGGGAATGGAAAAAATAGATTTATCAAGAATCTGTACGTCGCAGAAAAGAAAATAGTTTATATAAGATATAAGCAATCAAAAGCAGCCTTGGTATGAAATTTTTGTATTTTACCACAAATGAAGTCAGTTTCTGTAAAGATAAAGTTTCAGTTAAATCAATAAAGGTTGCGTGGTTTTTCTATTTTTATGATTTTCATGAGATCAATAAAAATTAACACTTTCATTGACCGGGCGCTATGAAATTTCCATTGTTACATTGTTACAGTCTTCAAAACCTAGAACATAAAATTTTGGTTTTGACTTTTGGCAACAAATGTGGGGCATTTGAAATATGGCTAAAAAATAGCTAAATTTAAACTTTCACATTACAAACGATCTAGCGTTTAAAATTGTTTCTTTTTGAATGCAAAAGTACGTTTTTCAAAACTACTCAACCTCAGGCACAAACAACGCCTAATATTGTCTTCGTAGGAGGAATTTCCCGAGACGTGCGAGATTAAGGTAGAACAATGAAAATTCCTCTACGACTGGTCAATGCATGAATGTAAAAATCGCGCAATGCTTATTTAATTTACACCTTTCTAAAAAATAAATTCATTTGCGGCAAAATACAAAAGTTGTATACGAAAGCTGCACTCTTTACCTTTAAAACACATTTTGATTTTTACCGTCGAGTTGATACAGATATTACTTAAAATTTATTTCGCGAGCTCAAGTGACATTTAATCGCCGGTAGTTTCAAGCGTTGTATCTGAGAAAAAGGTTTTTTTAACATAAAAAGTTCTAAATTATCTTAGCTACGTTTTTTATATAAAATATTTTTTTCTACTACGGACAGATTCTTGCTAAATCGATTTTTACGTTTTTCCCCCTTACGAGAGGGAGTTTTAGGAGAAAGCCAGGGACAAAATTGGTACATTTCTTTGCATCTTTTTTGAGCAAAAAATTGACATTCTCAGCAAAATTCAGGTTGTTCGTATGATTTTAGAGGTACAATCTCTGACGACTGGACTATTTTCTTTGTCCCTTGACTTGAATCTTTTGTCTGTCAACTGATTTGCCTCTTGAATCTTGTTTTTTTTATTATATTTATATTTTATTGTCTGGTAAGTTACTTCCAAATACTAATGAAAAATTTTGTTTCAGGGTTAGAATCAGAATTAAAAGAAGCACAAAAAGAATGCGAAACTATCGGTCGGACCATACGAATATTGGAAAATGACCTCGAAAACCAAAAGAAACGCAACATATTAATAAATCGAGAATTAGAAGAAAAAACTGGTAAGAACAAATTGAACAAGATTTTTTTTTCACAAGTTATATATAATCTACTTTCATTTTATTTCAGAATCGTTTAGTATATCAGAAAAAGACTACAAATCCAAAATAGAATACCTGGAAAACGTTATAGGAGAACTTCGAAAGCGAATAGAGAGCTTAGAAGAACAAATACGGATCCTCCAAGAAGAAAAACTCCAACTAACCAAACGCCAAGAAGAAATATTTCTCGAGAGAGATGAAAAAACCAAACAAATTACCGATAACCTCGAACAGGCACAGAAACAGAAAGAACAACTGGAGGAAAAATGGAAGAAAGACTTTGAGAATCTCAGAACGGTAAATATGGTTAGGGAGCAGGAGATGTTGGAAGATTTCGAGTGGAAGCTAAGAGATGTACAGCAGAACTGCAAGAAAAAGATCGATGAGAAAGAAGAAATTTTACAGATGTCTCTCACACATTCACAGAATAAGGAAAAAGAGACCGAAGAGTTAACCAAAAAGGTAAAATATATTCTCTAGACTCTTCTTTAACCAATCAACTTTCCTCTACATCTACATCATCATCATCACGTAGCATCATCCTACAACCCTGGCTGGGTCTTGGCTGCCTGTACAACTTTTTTCCAATTTGTTCAGTCTTCCCTCAACCTAGTCAAATGGAATGTCATTTTCTTAATCTGATTGGATGTTATGTCTCCATAACTTTCTTTCTTCTAACCATATGTGCGTTATTAACTGGTGGATTTGGCGATGTAGTGTGTCTCCCCCATATTTCAGATCTTGTTTCTTTTCGGCAGTCGTCATATTCCTTTGGTCTGTTTGCAGTTGTATCCAAGTCTTCCTTACTGTTTGTTTTTTTCCAGCTGTTTCCGACATTCCTCGTCATTCCATGTTTTTGCCCTCTTCTGCCTACTCCTTCCAAAGATCTTGTCCTGCTGTCTTGGTTATTATTTCGGCAGTCGTTTCCCATAGCTGTTCTATATCATTGTATTCTCTTTCAGAGTTCAAGGTTTGTTCAAGTTGTTCTCTATAGTTTTGTTGTTTCTCTGTATTGTGTATTTCGTCCATGTTCTATTGTGGGTTTATTGTTGTTTTATTGTATTTGTGGCTAGATATTCTGGATTTGACTTTTATTCTGACTAAGTAATGATCTGTGTCTCCGTCTATTCCTCTTAGGCTTCTTACGTCTATAATATTCACAAACATCTACAATGATGTGGTCAATTTGGTTGCGCGTAATATGGTCGTTTGAGACCCAGGTTTGCTTATGGATGTCTTTGTGCGGAAACATGTCTCTACATCTACGCATATTTTATAATCCTGCTTAATATGCAACGGTACGTTGATATAATATATTATATTGCAGTATTAGATAAAAAAGGAGCCAGTAAGTTCTGACTTCTTATTTTAACGAGAGACACAATGTTTATTTTCAATAACAACGAGACTAAACTTGTTTTTACACAAGTCATGCTTATTTTATTTTCTATAATTAAGTTCCCATCTACAATATATTTAACCTATTTTCTATTTTCAGATGGAAAGTCTGATACTACTAGAAAAAGAACTAAACGAACTGAGAGAAAAAACTAGCGACCAAAACAAACTAATGAAAAACATGTACGACGAGCACGAACAAATGCAGCAAAACGAAGAAAATCTCAAAAACGAAGTCAAAAAACTGAGAAACATGATTGATCTCGAAAAAGAAAACCTACAGCACATGCAACGGCTACATCACCAAGAAATCTTAGATAAAGAGAGGAAACTGCAACAAACACTAAACGAGAAGAAGGTGGAGATTGCCATCTACTGGGAGGAAAAGCTACTGAATGAGATTTCAAGACTGAAGGATGAGCTGGAGCAGGTTTACATTGAGGAAAAGATTACGGCTATTGAAAACGTTAAGAGGAATAAGGATGAGTGCTTTCAGAAGGCACAAGCGCAGTGGGAAAAGAAATACGTGGAGTATTTAAATGAGGTAAGACTAATAGACAATTCTTTGATTAATAAGTTTTTTCTTTCAGCGCATTTATACATTCTTTTTGTGTACTAGTATTTTGTTATTTTTGTCCACAAATACATTTAATCTGAATAAAATATTACACTGATTTTATTCACTGTTTATCTATTTTGTATACTTCACCTTCAGTGTTGCTTATATAGAATTTATTTGGTCAATATAAAAAAATAGTTTTGTTTTTGACAAGTCAAAGTAAAAGTGAAAATGATTTCATACATACATTATAAAATTTAAGTAAAATTTAGTACCAAGCATCCTAATACCTCTCTTCAAAAAGGAAGACAAATCGGCCTCAAAAAATTACAGAGAAGTTAACTAGCAGAAGAACAACAAGGTTTTAGGTCAGGAAGATCATGCACCGACGCTATATTTATAATGAGGCAAGTGCAAGAGATATCATTAGAATACAACAAACCTTAAGATGCCATTTGACCGGGTCAAATTAAAAGACATTATTCACTTATTGTACGCAAAAGAGATACCTCTAGGAATGATCAAAACAATCGAAAATATCTACCAAAACAACACAATAAAAGTAAAAGTAGAAGAACTAACCAACCCCATTGAAGCTGGCAATGGTCAGGGAGATTCACTGAGATCTCTACTGTAAGACCTATTCTAATAAAATAATAAAAAAGTAACAACTAAAAAAGGATATTAAATGGGAGAAAAACAACTTAAAATAATCTGCTATGAAGACGACGTAATACTACTCTCTCAAAGTGAAGAAGATTTACAACGTATGCTGCACCAATTTAATATAATCGCCAGTAAATTCAATATGTTAATTTTTCCAAAAATGGAAAAATGGTTCATGGTTACAACAATAAATTTACTAAGATTTAAATTATAAGTAAGAGCTAGAAGGTCAGATAATAGAACAAGTGATGGAGTTTAAATATCTAGGCATCACATTATCTAGCTTCGGAAAGCTCAAAACTGAAGTGGAAGATTGTAACGAATATATCTTGCCTACCACATAGGGTATTATTATAAGGGGTTAAAAATTGGGACAAAAGGCACTGTGGGTGGAGATAGGGCGAGCAAAATAAAATACACTTATGCGAACGGCACTTAGGGTTTATTTGAAGAGCTGAGTTGTAGATAAGTGAATGCCACAATAAAACTAAATAAAATAAACATAATAAAATAAACTAAACTAAACATTTATTGTTCTCTCACCACAAACAGTTACAAAATATAAATAACACAAAAATACTATATTAGTAGTTACAAAGATTTATACCAAAATAACAAAGAGAAACACTTACATGTTCTATCCGTTTACAAACTCTGTTTACAGGTGGGAGATGCTACAAAACAAAAAATTATTCAAAATCCACAAGGAAAATAATTCCTGCAGCTGGCTGTATACCACGTATCACAAAAAAGAGGTTAGATCTTTGTAAATGGGTATATTTTAAATATACCCATTTACAAAGATCTAACCTCTTTTTTTTTAAATTATTCCTGAGCTAAAAACTGTGGCAGAAATAAGTCGTTACAAATAAAAATTATCTTTTTAGATGAAACTATTCATAGGGGCTAACCTTTTTCTAAAAACAAAACAAACTAGTATAAAAAAAATAAAACTAAGTTAGCTGTCATAAATGCTATCTTTACTTTAAAATTTAAATACAAAAAAGTTACCTGAGTTTCACTAAAAATGCACTAAAACATCTGGGGGTGGAAACTAGACTTATATTCCCTGCCACACGAACACAAGGACTGCATCTATGGTCTGGAACGACGAACAGGGACAAATAAAGTGAGGTTGACATTAGCGGCACATTGGACACACCCTAAAAATAGCTTCTTTAAAAAATTGGTAAAATCGTGGTATATTTCAAATTTGTTATACACAAACCAAATCTCTGATACTTAGAAAAATAGTGATTACTCTTTCTAAACTTACATATTACATCGAGTAAAAGGTTCACTATTTTCAACAAATTTTGACGACTTCTGCATACTACATAACGGCGTCTGTCCTGTTTTACCAAATCTTCCAACCTTAAAACTCGAATTCTTTCGACCCTCGATGTTGTATACCGGCATCTCCCGTCTCTTATCCCGCGTATCAAGAAACATTGATGGTAAGCATTATGGGACAGAGCTAGAAGTACAGATGTACGACGTAGGTGCAAGGTGGAGAACGTCAAGAATTGAGTAAGAAATAGAAGAGTAGAATGGAACGATCATATAAACCGAATGACAACAAATAGAGTAGTAAAGACGGCAAGAGACGGTTCCTAAATAGAAAGACCACGAAAACGATGGAACGACAACTTACTGAAGGCACACCGAAAAACAGACAAAGTCATGTCTACACAAAAAGAAGAAAAGAAGAAAAAGAAGAAAAATAAGGAGATTTGATACTATTGTGTAAAAGCTCTACTTAGGTACACGTTTTTGAATAGACACAATGTTTTAAAAAGTGGGAAATAATTTTAAGCTTAAACGATAATAAGTGAAGACTTTTAACTTCATCTAGCAAAAAGTTATACAGATCAACATCAACGTCAAATTTTTTATACTCTATGCCAACCTAAAAGGTTGTGCTCTGTTTTTTAACCAGGAGGAGTAAACCAAAAAGACAGATTCACACCCAAAAAAGCTACTAGAAAAGTCACCAAATACATCTTTTTTTGTTGTATATCTCGGCCTTGCGGTAATCGAATAATCAATATCGGACAACCTTACACGTCAATTCTAACCTAACTTTATGTTTTAATATTTTTTTTTAATTAATTTCCAATATATATTACAATTATTACAATAAAAAAGGACGTTTTTCACATTTGGTCCCATGTATATATATTTAAATATCGAGTGATCCAGTTTTATAGATCTTTTCAGTCGATGGTACTTAATTTAGAGAATATTTTGATCCAGAGAGTCAATAATGTTATAGATCTAAGTATGGTTTTTCTTAGAAATTTGACTTTTAATTTGCAAATAGATCTTATATGCAACAAAGCTATGCAAATGCATGTATCAAAAAGTTAGAGAGAGTTCAAAGATTTCTGAAATACTGTTCTTTTAAACTGCGTAGACCATATTCTTATTCTGGTGTGATTAATTTCTTGAATCTAGGTTTTTTTTCTTACCAGAAGAATTAACTTTGACTTTGATCATTATTTTTAAGCTTAATAATCCAATCTCCTGAATTGCTTCAGCCAGTTTGTTTTACATATTCCTTCCCATTCACTGCTTTAAAATTGACTTTTTCATACTTCATACCACAGAATAAATTATGGTTCAAATATAGGTGTGGTCCTACTTTTCATGCATGGTAATCAGTTACCTCATTAGATCTATTTAACTTATGTATCAATATCTTAAGGATCTATTTGAAGCACTAAAATGCAAAACAATAAATTTCTATAAATAAGTGTGTACTTGCAATTTTTTTAATGCTGGATTCTTGTTTAATTTTGACAGTGAGTTTGTCCCATTTGTTATTAATAAATAAAATTTACTAAAAACTAGTGGATTTCTGTGAGATAATCAACTAATTCAATCTATTATGTTACATTCTAGTATAATTTTGTAGTTTTCTTGTGATGATCTACAACAGGAAGAACAAAACCAACTGTATCAACACAATTAAAGTAAAACACAACATTACTAATGTTCTTTTATTGTGATGAAAACAAAATGAAAATGCTTCTTAACAAGTATACACAAATTTAAAATATAGTTGCCGTTTTTCTTCTGATAATTAGATATAAATATTATACATTTATAAATTTATAAACACTGTAAACTCTATTTATTATATATATCAGCTAGAAAAATATCACATTAAATACTATTACCTATCGCATATCACCAAGTCCAAGTTATTACAAAAACAACTTAGAGTCAGAAATCGATTTATATAATATTCTGTGCATAATATATATTCGGAATGGATGTAAAAATAAAAATTTAATAATTTTATTAGTCTTCCAAAATCTCTCCATTTATGTCTTGGTGAGATTAATGAACAACTACACCATTTTGAATTTCTTGATTTATTTTTTCAGCAAAAACTGAATCTATTTCAGATATTTGAGCAAGAAAGTTTTGTTTTTAGTCAGCAGCCCAATGTATAAACTATTCTTTGAATAATTTCCCCTAAAAAATAACTATGGTAAGACATTCATAATATACACAATAAATCAATCATCCTATAAAGTAAGATAAACAATCTATAGTTATGCTATGTAATATTTGCTGCATTGAATCTGCATATGTAAAATAAAAATATCCTTTTTTTCCTTTTCTTCCCTTTTCATGTTCTTATATCTGTTGAACCAAAATACTTGACAACATTCCAGTAGAGTATACAAAAAATAAAAACTTAAAACTTAATATTCAATAGTAACAATAATATACCTGATTATAAAAATGAAAACTATAAAATGTTTTAGTTAATTTTACTATATAATTGTAGCTAACCCATATTTACATACCGATATTTGTACTTACTTCAAATTGATTTTCTTCAAGAATTTATATAATAATGAACGACACATATTTTTGAAGATCTGAGCGGTTGTTAATTTCACTTAAAATTTTACCTAAAGTGAGCATTTCATTCTTGAAAAAGAAGCTGTGTACTATCTGTCGTATAGATGTTTTAACTCTTTCATCCTATGTTGCAAGAATATAAGGTCGACCTTCAATATTTTTAGGACATTTTACTGCTCCAGTCTGCATATATTCTTTAATTGTTCTAAATTCTATTGTTGTAAATAGTTGAATTCGCAACACCTAAAATTAGCACATTACATTAGTAAGTCTTGATTTTAATAATAACTATTCTGTTAAATTACCTGCTGCCTGTTTTATTTTTACTACCGTGGCTGTTATTTTTATTCCAGAATTATCAATTTTCATGTTTGTACATGTTTATAGTACATTATTTCTCATTTGATGATAAATGATCCAAATCAACTCAGCGTTTTTAAGGTGGAGAAGAATAATTACCACTACTACTTGGCATTGAATCCATATTGTTATCTTAATAACACTAATATGTCGCTAAATAGTTCTGAAAAGAACTGTTTTTTATATAAATGCAAACGAAAAATCTAAAGATGTAAGAAATAACACAGAACATTGTCGATATAAATTTTGAATTTTAAAATTTCACAAATGTCATTAGTGTCAATATGTCATAATTTAGTGGAGTAAACTTGCCTGCGCTTCGACCAATTACAAACAAGCATTATGGCGCGAAAAATTTGAATTACTCCTCCTGGTTTACAAACCATAGCATCTCTAGATCTTGTATCGTGATCATGAAAGTTGGAGTTTATGGTAAACTTACCTTTGTTGGCCAGAAATTCCAGAAATAAAGGTTTACAGTGGGTAGGGCACGTAAAGCGGATGGAACAAAACGATCCAGCTAGGAAAATGCTTCTTGATAATCCCATTGGATAGAGAGGAAGAAGAAGAGCCAGAACGAGGTTCCTTAATAACATTGATGAAGACATATTACGAATATGGGAGTGCGTGCTTGGCGGAGGAAGGCGATGGATAGGGTCGACTGAAGAGCACTGGATATCTTACCTCTTAGCGTTAATCCCAACATCGACGATTTCATGACGTTACACATCGTAAGCTATTTTCCACACCATTGTCACCCACTTATTTTTAGTAGTCGTCCGTATACCAAGATTTCAAAGGTTTTTAAGTGTTTAAACATGATCTCAGTTAACTATAATCTTGGTTGGAAATAATGACCCATAATAGTAATTTAATAAAGACAGAAATAATCCCACAAACGACAACAATTTGCAATCTCTGTCGATAGATAGTACTTGTCTGCTCTTAACTTAACTTTAAACTTCGTCATTTGTTTAAAAAATCCTGAAGACCTAAAAATAGTAATAGAGCACTAGGAATTTTTATTTTTAGTCCAAACTTTGCCAAAGCCAATGCAATAAAGTATTTATTTAGTCTTAAACATTGATTACAATTAAACATTCTCTTCTGTAAGTAATATTTTAATCTTAAACTTTAGGTTTTATTTTGTACCTTATGTATTTTTTTTTATATTATTTTCGATACTTTACCTCTGCTTGCCTTGTTTTTTTTATTTACAAAAAACGTGCTTCAACCTAATAATGTTATTAGAGAAATGGTAACAGTTAATTACACTTTGCTTAGTAAAGTAAAGTCTTTTTAAAACAACAGTAGGATATCTATAATGTTTTTTGATTTTAAAATGTCTTTAAGATTGTTTGGTTAATTGTATTTAATTCTGTGACGATTGAACTTTTCCACCAGCACATATTTTACCGTAAATGGTGAACCGCACTCATCACAAATTTGGCGTTCTTCTTTCTTAAACAAATGTTCATAAGGACACTGGGTATGTCCAAGTCGTAATGGGAAAAAATTATTTGCTTTCGTCTGGATACCTCGGGTGGTTGCCATGGTCCAATCTTATTTTTTATCCTGAAGCTTTCATGGTGTGGATTTCCATTTATTACTCCAGTTCTCGAACAGGTACTTTATGAAGTAACTTTTTGGATTCATACTTACAGATTGAGATGATATGGGGATACTGTTGTCGTTTATAGCTTCTTTGGCATTTTTGTCTGCTGTTTCGTAACCTGCTATTCCTACATGTGATAAAACCTAGAGAAACTTGATGCTTGTATCTTTAGTATGCAATTTATTTAGTGTAACAATAAAACACTGAAAACTTTGTTTTCAAACTTCCACAAAATTTATTTTAAAACTTATCACTACAGCTGTTTCGGCTGATTGCCTTTCTCAAGTGATCTATTTTTGGCTTGGGTTTACAAATTTATAGTCTCAAATGAAATAGGTTGAGGAGGGGAGAACTGTTTGTTTCAAGTTGGTCATTCAGAATTATATCTGTGTTTTTTTATTTGTTGATTTCCATAGATTCTAACAAAGATAGCTTAAGGCCTTTATTTTGAATGTGAAGAATTTTAAATTTGTCATTAAAAGAATGATTATGATCTAGATGGTGAAGTGCGTATGTAGAATCTGTTTTTCTATTCTTGAAAGCACTTTTATGATCAAAAACTACACAAGAAAGCCCTGAAATTAGTATTTTCACCACCAGAGAAAAAACCCAGTACCTTCTGCTCGATTACATATACAGGCAAAATAACAACAAAAATTGCCAAACACATAAAAAAGAAAGGAATAACACCAGCTTTCCGAACAAATAACAACCTAGGCAAATATATTAAAAATAACAAGAGCCAAAATAAAAAACACTTAAATAGTGGTGTGTACAAACTTCAATGTGGCGACTGCTCAAAAACTTACATCGGTCAAACTGGTAGAAACTTTGATAAACCAATAACAGAACATAAAAGGGCTTTCAAGAATAGAAAAACAGATTTGACATACGCACTTCACCTTCTAGATCATAATCATTCTCTTAATGACAAATTTAAAATTCTTCATATTCAAAATAAAGGCCTTAAGCTATCTTTGTTAGAATCTATGGAAATCAACAAATTAAAAAACACAGATATAATTCTGAATGACCAACTTGAGACAAACAGTTCTCCCCTCCTCAACCTTTTTCATTAGAGACTATAAATTTGTAAACCCAAGCCAAAAATAGATCATTTGAGAAAGGCAATCAGCCGAAACCGCTGTAGTTATAAGTTTTAAAATAAATTTTGTGGAAGTTTGAAAACAAAGTTTTCAGTGTTTTAATTCAAAGTTTAATTAAGGGTTAATAGCTGCATACGAAGTTCTAGCGTGGGTTCGCCTATTTCAGCTTGTATGCTATTTATCGGAGTTGTTCTGTAGCTCCAACTATAATCCTTAGGAAGGCGTTAAATAACGTATCCAAAGGTTTTAACGTTGTTGTGAGCGTTATTGCTAAATTCTTAAAATTAGAGCATGCGCATCTCTACACTGGGCATTGTTTTAGACGTTCCTGTGCCTCAATATTGTGTGACAGTGGTGCAGACTTTTCAGCTATTAAAAGACTAGGTGGCTGGAAATTGACTGCTGTAGCAGAAGGTTATATAGATAATTCTATGCAGAATAAACTTCAGACGGCTGAAAAACTCTTGAAACAAAATACCACTAAACCTTTTCAAAGTACTTCCTTCAGCACCACCGCTTCTTCTTCTATCACAGAATTTACAGAGGTCCAAGAAGACTTAAATATTAATTTGTTAAAATGCTATACAGCAGATAATCATTTATCAATACCTTTCTTTAATTTCAGTAAGTGTACTATTTCGAATATTAATGTTTACAATAATAAAAGTACACTAAGTAAAATTAAACTTTAAATAAAGTTAATGAAAGCTGAAAAAATGGTTGTTCATCGTTAAGTAAATAAAAATTTAAACCAAGATATTTTTATTTCTGAAAAGTACGGTCGACGAAAAGTTTTGTAACGAACTTGTGAATTAAAATGGCGATTAAAATATCTCAATTGTCAATTGCCCTACTTTAATAAGGGGGAAATAAATAATAATATTATTATTTATTTCCCCTTTTTTGTATTTATTCCTATTGCAGCAAAGGTAACAAATAGAAACAATTTTAACTAGTCGTATCTATTATTATTATTATTACTAAAATTTAATTATTATTACTAAAGTTATCACACAACTTTTTCTGCAAAATCCGAATGCAACCTCTCACATCTAAATGTAGTCATTTTTTCACAAATCCGCCTTGTATAAGTCTTCTTCCAAGCTAGAGATATGAAAGGATGACTTTCATATTGTCATAACAAACGCATTAAAATTGTCAGTGTCAATAAAACACCCCAAAATCACAATGTTACAAACTTGAATATAACATGGAAATCAATGAGAAAATTGTTTACTAATTTAGAAAAAAATGTTTATTTTCCAACAACTATTTAGTTCAAGAAGTTTTATCTCATCAAAGGTAACACAGAATCTTTAATCACAATGACAAAAACCTATATTTACTTGCTTTTGTCTAATATTTTTGACCATTATCATTAAACTGTATCATTTCAGGTTTTTCTTCTTCTTCAGATGCAAATCCACTAATGGATGTTAGCGATCACATTTTCCATTAATTCTCTATTTCTTGCAATATGTATCAGAGATTGTATGTCGTTAATCCCTGTCCATTGCCTTATGTTTCGGAGCCGGTCATTTTCCTTGCGTCCCATTCCTCTCTTGCCTTCAATTTTACCCTGGATTATAAGTTGGAGGAACTGGTATTTTTCATTTCGCATGATGTGACCTAGATAACGCCGTTTTCCTTTTCTTGATGGTTTCGAAAAGTTGGCGTTCTTGGTTTATTCTTTTAAGGACATCTATATTTGTGATTTTCGCTGTCCATGGTATTTTTAGGATACGGCGATAAAGCCACATTTCGAAAGCTTCTAATCTGTTTATATCCCTCGTTGTGAGTGTCCAGCCCTCTACGCGATATAGCAGCACTGACCATACGTAGCACTTAACAAACCTTAGTCTCAGTTGAAGATCAAACTCTGAACAAGTCAGTACTTTCTTGAATTTTACGAAAGCTTGTCGAGCTTGCTCAATGCGACATTTTACTTCCCTGTCCGATGCCCAGTCTTCAAAAAGCCACGATCCCAGGTATTTAAATTTACTCACTCTTTCAATGGACTTAGTATTCAGTGTTATGGTGGAGTTTTCAAGTGCATCTAAGTTTCTGGAGATGATCATAAATTTGGTCTTTTTGGTATTAATTTCTAATCCCATTCGCTTACTGTATTCTCCGATTATAGTGACAAGTTGTTGAAGATCGACTATGTTGTCACAAATTAAGACACCATCATCAGCATATCGTATGCTGTTAATTAATACTCCATTCACTTTGAATCATTTCAGGTTCACACCTTACAAAATGCACTGGAAGAAAAAGATAAGTTCTACAAAGATGAAATTGTAAAACAGCAATCTATAACAGACCAAGACATTTTTGAACTAAGAAGATTAATGGATAAGCTAGATATGTCACATCACGACAAATATGAGAAGTTAACCCAAAAACATGAAGCAGAATTAGGTATGTTGTTAAAATAGTACATTTATCTTTATGCGTGTGCTTTTACTTTATGATTTTGTTGTATTTCTTACCAATTTCTCTGATTTTGTCGATTTGTATGTGTATATGTTACAGCCTTATAATATATCCTAATACGGCCCTAACATATTTCTTCATTAAGTACGCCTTTTTAGTGTATTTACTTTATTGACAAAAAATTCGAGTTTCGCTAAATGTCTTTTAACGTTTTTATTTCCTCATAAATCAGACCCTTTTATAATATTCTGTGGAAAACACACCTAAGCCACAGAATAATAAACAATCAGAATAGCCACTCTCAGATGCTGCCTTTGAAGTTTTTCAGCACGGGCGCCATGTTTTAGAAGGAAACACATAACACAGACATATGATTTGTGAGGTTATGTCATTGTTTATATTTATGTTTAATTATATTATATTTATGTTATTATATTTAACAATGTTAATATAATTGTATATTATGTCTATGATTGACGTAAGTCAATTAAACCGGGTTAATTTTTCTATGCACACCACATAAACAACACTGGTTCCCTTTAAACATGACGGAACGTCTGCGCGAACGAGATGCGCGTACTGAATTTTCTATGGAGAGTGGGCATTCTGATTGTTTTTTATTCTGTGCCTTAGTCATCACGACGCGATGGCGTTCAAGATGGCGACCGCGAATCTACTTGTTTTTAACAAACAAATGATCACCACATATTTATCGCGACCTGCTGGCGATTAAAGGTATTTGTGCAGCATTATGACGACAATCGCGGCGATATAATTAGTTACGCGTTCAGAAAGCAGCAGTTTATGTTTATCGCTGGTCGCATCGATGCAAAAAAATGAATATCGAAATACTTATTGATATTGTAAAAAATATGATATATTGTTAGACCTGATCCATGGACGTATAAACACAGATGGACTCAGTTATTTACATAAAATTGTGTAGTCAAAATTATTTGAATAGGTCACATTCTCAGCACCTTCAACTGTTGTCACGTTTTGTTTTAAAATTTTTTATCCGCGAGTCGCTGAAAATATTAATCCGTATTTTATACTCTACAGGTGGTATCAAACCAAAATAATAATTTATTGGTTAAATTAATATATTTAATTGTAATCAAAATATCAAGTGTGCACATAGTGTGCATTATCATTTAATAATAGCGTATAATAGATATCAATCAATTATTTTATATGTAGAAGCACTAAAAACTATTTATAAATGGCAACCAGTGTTTACATTTCTCTGTCTTATGGATCTACGTCAAACTTCAAATGCTGTTCCATGTTTGTTTACTTTTTACAGTAGATGAGGAAAAGTTGTTTTTAGATATTTTGGCTGTATTTTGAGTGATATTTGTGAAAAGTAGAATAAAATAAACGAAATATTTACATCCCGATCTCTCATTTCATTTGTAAGTACATACAATTTACATTATTTAAGATGAGGAAATGAGGAAGCGTGTTAGTTTACATTTTAATAGGCGTACCATTGGGTTTATTCATGTTCATTAATGTATTAAATAAGATATGAAATGTCTACTAATTTCATGTTCATGAAATTAGTAGACATTTTTAAATTGTAAGTAGACATCATCTGATTAAAAAAGATCTGTTTAGTACCTTTCGAATTTAATATTTCTCATGGATACAAATAAATTAGTGAAATGAATAAAACTCATTTATTTTTCTATGTAGGTTTCCAAATAATATTGACGATCGAACTATTTGGGTAGCAAATTTAGGAGAAAACATAAAGATATTTTATTGTAGCATTATTTTGATACCTATTAAAAAATTAACTTGAATTCAACTATATTTAATTGTATTAAATTTAAAGCAAATAAAATTGTATTTTAATTTTTCTATAAAGACGTGATTTGTTAATAGTTAAACTCTCGTTTTTTTATTTCTTTGAACGTGTTTTTATACATTATTACTACTTCCAATTTTTAAAATCTGAATAATTACCCGCGAGTAAAAATTCAAGCACGCTTATGCTTATTGCGGAAGCATCACATTCTATCGAAGCTTCAAAACATTGTGTGTTAAAGGTATCTTATTGCCATCTATGTTTATACGTCCATGACCTGACCCAACCAGATTTTAAAAAGGAACGTATAAAAGTTGGTTCCCTAAATTTGTTTGCTGTTTGGTGATTTTTTGTCCGATATAAAATTTCATTAAAAACTTTTAAAATTCATTCTAAAATATTTATAGAAACGGTTCTCATCTCTGCGAAGTTCTGAATACAATTTATGAAATTCTTCTTGTTGTCATGTAGATACCCAATCTTTTTCTGCAAAATAAAACGCATAAATACTTCATTTGTAAATAAAAACATAGATCGCATACACATACCTTTTAACGCTTTTATTAAATTTTTGCAATACTTTTTCTTCTTGCAAATCGCACATTTTATAAACTATAGTTAAAACTTCTCCTTCTTAGCGTGCCATATCAGAATTGCCAGAATAATTGTCCTGCATTTGATATGAGAGACAAATCACGAATACTCCTCAACCAAGAAACCCGTTTCCTTCCTATACATCTACGGTCCTCTATTTTGCCTTTAAGGATGAGTTGTAATATTTTATATCGACTTCCTCTTACTATATGTCTCAGATAAAACATTTTTCGATGTTTAACAGTCTTTAGCAGTTCTATATCTTTGTTGACGCTCCTTAGTACTTCTTAATTAATTTTCATTGCTTGATATCCAAGGTATCTTCAGCATTCGTCTATTTCCAATACTTCAATTTTGTTCATGATCGATAATTTTAGTCTCCAAACTTCTGCACTATACAAAAGTATGGACCAAAAAAAGATTATTGCAAAGAAATGACTTCATTTTCATAAAAGTAGTTGTAGTCATTACTATTCTACGTTTTATTTCTGTCTGGATCTTGTTGGCCCGTCGGTCAGATAGCTCATTGGCTGTGCGGCTGCCTCTCATTCGCTTCACTGTCGAATGGTTCAGTGGATGTGGGATCGAGCCCCAGCTTGGTGTACAGAAAACAAAAAGTCTAACGCAGCAGTTTAAAATTCTAGATGAATCTGCGGCTTAGAGTAGGATATGCTGGGATCTGATCGGCCTATGGTGGAGCAGTACGGCAAGAGATAAGGGCTTGCGGTTCGGTGATACTCCTCCATAGATCCCTACCGGACGGGCGTAACGCCTAAAAAACCAGATATATGTATATCTTGTTGGTCCGTTATCACAGTTCCCAAATATGTCATTTTGTGAAATTTCTCAACTTAGACTCCGTTTAATTGAAGTATTCTTAGGAAAATTATAAGAGTATGGCTCATTAGGCTAATTAATCGATATTCTGAGCACTTTTTACATTGTGTTTTTTAGGTATTGCGACAATGATGGATTGGAGCCTATCTGTGGTTTGTATGTTGGTTTCAGTAACTCAGTGTATCATGTGGATCACAAGATTTTCTTATTTTAGCATTATATATAGCGTGTTCTACCTCGCATTTCATAACTTCTTGGCCGTTAGTACAGTTTTAGTAGAATTTGGCAATATTATTCCTGTCATCTTCAACCAACTTTAATATATACAGTTGCCATTCTTTTCTTATTTCGTGCTCATGTACAATAATTTTGTTATTATTGTCAACGAGTACAGAAGAAACTCATTTTTTTAAATATGTTACTCATTTTTTTTCAGTTTTTTGTGCACATGAAATAAGTCGTGTTTAGATATTACATCCTCCATTTCGTCGCACCTTTCTCTCATCCATTTTCTTTGGCTAATTTGATCTTCTTTTTTATTCTTCTCTGCAGGTATCTATATTCTGTTTCATTAGATTTTATCAGTCGACGTTGTTCCAATAATTTCAAGATGTCGTCTGTCATCCATATATTTTTCTTGATTAAGTTTTTTCTATAATCATTGTTTGTGGAGATTTCATTAATTTGGTTTTTAAATTCACTCCATAGTTTTTCTGGATCTTCTAGTTGTTCTCCGATATTTTTTATTCTATTGTTAATTTTTTTTAATGTACTTAATGTTTTATGTTTATATCGTCAAAGTTATGTCCATTGGTTTTTGGTTTTTGTCGTTGAATTCGTTTTAACCTTAGTTTAATATCTGCTACAAGTGGTTGATGATCAGATCCAATATCTGCCTTAGAAAATGTACTGACTTTTTTTACGGCATTTTGGAAACGCTCATTTGCAAGTATATAGTTCATTTGATTTATGGAGGACTCAGGGTTATTGCCATCATCAAATGAAGCTTTCCAAGTGTATAGTCGTCGCTTGAGTAGTTTATACCAGATGTTTGAAATGATCATATCGTTTTCTTTACAAAATTTATATAGTTCCAACTATATTATTTATACTATTAAAATTGCAAGTCGCGATCGCCGTCGTGATCGCTTAGATATGTTCTCGGCTTTAGTTAGATAATATCTGAAGCTCTGAGCGTCATTAAATCTATGCTATCCGTATAAAAAAACTTTGAACCGAGCCATTACACACCAGCATGTATTACTATTCTATTCTCACTAGAAGGTTTTTAATATCCGGTCATAAAATGCCATAAAAAGGTAAATGTCCACTCGATTGAAAGTCTCTATAAAAGCTTATTTGTTGCCGCAATATTGCAATTACCTCGTCCTCAGTAGAATCCTCATAGCTCCTCATTCCTCACGTTTTCTAAGAATCATCTCGTTTTCCTCAGTAATAACCATTATATTGTCCTCAATAGTTAAAAGAATCATATCACGTTACACTCTCTACGTATTACATACACATATTCGACATAGTAATGTAGTTTTTTAAAATTAGTTATTTGTATTTGTTTTGTGTATTTGGTATTTAATTAACTATGTTCAAATAAAACAAAATACTTTACAAGCTGTACAACACCTTACTTCGACAAAGATTAATTAATCGTCTTCTTTTATAATAAACCAACATAGAAGTTTTGGCTCTCGTCTTATGTTGGAGGTTCATCAACAACACGTCTTCTTCGTCTCATCGTTATCTTTTTTTGGATATCCCTTTATATCGGTAAAGCATTTTTCATTAGCATTTTGAAATCATTTTTAGAAAGAATGAAGGAAGAATATGAAAAAATGATGGAAGATAGAGAACAGTATTGGAAATCAGAAATAGATACACTAAACTCAACGATAACAAACATGAGGTTACAAGTAGAAGACGAAAACCAAGAAAAATTAAAAGTTCTTATTCAAAGTCATCAAAGTGAATTGGGTAAGTCATTGTGAATATTTTAGTTAACATTGTAATAGTAGTATGGCTTTTTGTTACGATTTCTATAATTTACTAATTTTTTTTTTGTCGTTTTTTATTTTTATATTTTGGTGTTTTTTTTTATTTGGTTTTTGGCTGACTGATTTGAAACTAACGATATAAAATTTAAAAAAGCAACCTGTTGCATGGTACCCATTCTTGTATAAAAATCTCAACATCATTTTTCTAGAAGAACAGTGGGAGAACCTCATTCAACAGAAAAAGGAAGCCATCCAATTTCTGGAAGAAAAATACATAGCCAAATGCGTCCAGCTAGAAGACCAACTTAACCAGCTCCAAAAATCTCACAGTGCCCGTGAAGTAGAGCTTTTAAAGACTGTAGATTCCCTCAAGAACGAAGTGCAAAGCAAAGAATCTATCATACAAGATATGCAGAGTAATATGGATATGCTAGAAGGTGGTATCCAGGTGCTGAACAAGGAGTTAGCCGAACAGAATGATGTCATGATGAAGGAGAAAAAGGAATCCGAACAAAAACTAAGGTAAGTGCCAACCATTTACTAAATTATTCATCATTATCATTATCATCATCATGGGTTTTACGGCCCTAGAGGAGCTTCGATTTGTCTAGGCCTATTTTTCCATTCGGTCCTATTATATGCAGTTTAGTGCCATTAGTTCATCTGAAACTTTTTTTAGTTTCCTTAAGTTTTACCAACAGAGTACATATTGCGGAGCAGCTTTCATTTGCTCTAACCAGATGTATTACCTACTATAGGCATTTAATTTTTATTACAGTACCAACACCTTTGGCTTCGGCTATTTCATTTTAAGCTTTAATTAATTTCAGTTTAATTAATTTAATCTTGCCCAAGTACTTTCGCTCCCTAGAGCATCTTCAGGGGCATTTCGGCAATTGTGGCCTATCCGACAAGAATTAAATGTTATAAATATAAAATGGTACATTACACTACACCATACAAGGACAAACACTTTAAAATTTTAAAATAGGTGAAACTACATTGTGTACGGAAGCCGGAGACAGAATTCTGTCTCCGGCTAATTATTAAGTCATATGGTCATTTGAAATCTACAACAAATAATGAAATTCGGTACTCCGTTAGTAAAATTTTTCCAGCGTTTGCTTTACTATAAATATTTGGTCTATAGTTGACCTACCTATTCTGAATTCTCCTTGATAATCCCCGGTTGTTTGTTTCATCATATTGTTTAACACTTATTGATTTTATTTTTAGAAATATTTTGGTTAAAATTGCCAAAATTCAAGAGGATAACGAGAAGGAACAAGAAGCATATAGACTAAAGTTTATAAATTCCCAGAAAAACTATCAACAATCCATAGACCACATGCAAAGAAAGTACCAGTGTCTAACAAAATTGTGAGTATTCTTAATTAAATTCTTAATTAAATCCATAGCTGCATTAAGATAATTTAGATATACAATTTCATTCAATAATCTTAAAAATACTCTTGTACCTTTTTACTTCTTATATTTATATGGTATTTTTTACCGGGATTAAAATTTTCCGGTGTTAAATAGGGCGAAGAATGGTACGGCAGTAGGCCTTGATGAAATACCGGTGGAGCTTTGGAAGGCTCAAGGAGAGAAAGGGTAGATATTTTGTGTCAAATGATGAGTAGAATATATGACGAAAAAATGATGCCCAATGCATGAAGAGATAGTGTAATGGTATCATTTTATGAAGATAAACGGGACATTCAGGGATTGTAAGAACTATAGAGAATTAAACTTAATGTCGCACGCAATGAATATTGGTGAGATAACTGTAGAGCAAAGATTAAGGAGAGAGACACCAATAGGAGAAGAACAGTTTATGCCAGAAAGGAGAGGTAGAGGAAAACTGAGGAGAAGATGAAAGGACTGGCAGAAGTGGCAGACAATTTCAGAGAGATAGGTTTAGGCGAAAAAGACCCAACGGACAAAAAAGAACAGCGACGACTAAAAAGAAAAAAGCTGAGAAAGAAGATGAAAAAAAGAAAAATTTTAATGTTATATTTCTTAAACAAGCGTATTTCCTGATTTCCTTTAATAAACATTATCTAGGTCATTAGTGTAGCTTTGAACATTTTTTATTTTAACAGAAATATTTTTAAACATGTAGCGGACAAGTTCTTTAGAAAAAATCAATGATTAAAGATTTTATTTTTCTACTTGTTCTTTATAGACATTTTCCTAGACGACAGATAAAATATTGACATCTAAATCTGGGTGATACTGGAGAAATAAAACGTCAAGGTTGGACCTAAGCTATCACTGTAAGACACCAGCTTGCTGTTTTAGAACTAACTCCAAATAAAAAATTTAGAAGCTGTAATTGGTTATGTAGAGACCCATTAGCCTCTTATCAGTCTTATTTATGCTGTTTGTAAGGTTAATTACATTGCGACTAACAAAAAAACTGGATAGTTTTCAGCCTGGGGAAGAGGCTGAAGAGGGGAACTTTAGATAAGTTTATAACATCATAAATCATATACAAGTAAACAAAAGACTAATTAAAAAATTAAACGAATACAAACATAATATTCTAGATAGATTTGGTAAATTATTAGAAGACATTTGACTCATTTGACTCATTTGACTCAGAAACGGAAACTAAAGTCAACGAACTACAAAAATTAAATTAAAGAAATATCCAAAGCTATTAGACAAGTCACTCGAAAATACAACCAAGAACAAATTGAACGTACCGTTGAGAACAATAGAAGTATGAACGTATTGAGAAAAATAATACAAATGGGGACAAGGTAGATAATAAAGATTAAAGAGAGAAATGGTAATCTTACAACCAACAGAGAAGAAACCCTTAAAATAGTTGAAGACTTCTACAAATTACTGTACACAAGTCAACACAAAGCAAATAGCAAAGAAGATCAAGTACCAGAAATATTAACAAGGAAAAAGGGCATTGTCAACCATGGATCAGAACTACTACAATAGCCTTTCTCAAGTTGAGAAAGGCAATCAGCCGAAATAGCTGTAGTGATAATATTTAAAATATATGTTGTGGAAGTTTGAAAACAAAGTTTTTTGTGTTTTATTGTTACATAAAATGAATTTCCATCAAGTAACGGTCGAATCCATCAATTATTTAAAGCTTAATATTTCTCTCCCTCCAAAGGCGCTACAGCTCTAGAGCTTTGGCCTCCTCCAAGCTATACCGTCAGATCCAACGATGGATAGAACACAGTTAATATGATGAATTTCTTATAAATTATCCAAAAAATGCGATTTATTGCGTTTTGCAAATGCAAAAATCCTACAAGCGATGAATAAAACCAAGGAAAACCACTCCATTATTCTTCATTCTTCTTCCGCCATGAATTGGGTAGTTTTCCATATCGGTATGATTTTACATGATTTTACATCTTTTTCAGTAACTATTCATATTCTCTCTCCCCCACTATAACAGCTTATTTATTGAGTTTAATTCCTATTACATATACAATATATATTTTTTTATCTATATGCAATTTTTTGCTTCTTCATTTTAGATTCGAGGAGGTCAGACAAAGGTACGAACGCAGAGAATCCCGTCAAGAGGACATAAACACCATCTCCGATCTCAAACAGATCATTACCGAACAGGAAAAAGACCTTAACTGCCTCAACGAAGAAAAACGTTACTTCCAAATGAAGCTGATGGCTTTGGAGCATTCTTTCGACCAGAAGGGTTCCTCAGAAGACGAATCTCTCAAGGACGATTTGACAATAACGGAATCCAATATGACTGATTTGTCTTACGAATCAAGTAAGAATCATTTGATGCAGGATGGTCACGAATTAGTGCCCATGACTGGCCCAATCGGTTTAACTGACCTAAGTCAGCAAGTCAGTTATATCTCCATTCCTCCCACGATACAGGAATGCGACGAATAATGTTTTTTTTTCTATATTTTATGTTAGGTTACAATATTGCTCATGTACATCTCTAGCATTGAATAAATAGTTTTGTTTTTCACCTTGGATAAAATATTATTTACTTAGAGTAGTTCATTAGAATTTTGTATTTGTTTATTAGATTTTTTTTTCTTCAACAATTTTTGTCTTTAAGCTTTTTCTTGCAGACGATTGAGTTAGTAATTTGAGGTGTACATGGGTATCAATCTCACTTATTTATTTGTATATCTTTGAATAAACCACTATTTTATAATTTTTTATAGTTTGATTATTATTATTTATGGTACATTTATATTAAAAGACTATCGAAATATATACCTTTGATAAAAAATGGCAAACAACGTAACCGAGAGAAGCAAAATCCTTAGATTGAACAGAACACAAAGCATAGGGTTAAGTTATAGGCTCTGCCTATTTCTGCTTCTGTTTTTTTTTTCGATTGATAATGTAGGAACGTTCATTAAACATTTAACGGCCGTAAAAAATCAAGGAAAAAGTAATTTGTTATTAAAAAAATATAGAAAACCGGTAAGAGAATATTGATAAAAATAGATACATATAATACTTATTTCAGACATACAAATTTCACACTGAAATTTTTCATCATCTTCCTGATCTATTTCCACACATGCTTTATGAGCCCATTTCAGACAAACTAAGTAATATACCTATCCTTCATCGGTTGATGATGAAAACCACTCGTTACAGTAAAAAAATTCAGCATCTTCATCATGGATTTTACCATGTACTTGATGGTCACATCTATTTTTTTTTCTTTCGCTTGCCATCTTTGAAAGGACAAACTTGTTTTTGTTACTTCTTTTACTATCTTGATGTTTATCAGCATTTATTTTTTTTTATTAGTTTTTCCTTTTATATTGTTTCTTTTGCCTTCTTCCCTTCGTCTTTATTTTAAGTTCCAATTCTAGCTTATATGGAATAAATACGGACTAGAGATATTAGTACAGCTATTTTACTTTTTTTAGATTTCCTATTTAGTTCCATTAATTTACTTCTCTTTGGCAGAGAATGAATGTCTTTAGGCGTGTTTGTTCCAAATGAAGTTGTTACCATACTGTCTGCAGGGAAAATTGTCAACTGAAAATAGTTACCTGAATTGCATGAATAATATAATTGCCTGAATTTGACTTGGCTGAGGCTCTGCAGTTGATGTTGTAGCCATTGCCTAATCTTGATTTGGCAGTAGTAGACTACTATTTTCCAAATCTCCTTCAGCCGTAGCAGTGGGTGCAAAGTCTAGGTCTGTAAATATATTCGAATCATAAGGTACTATCTTACATTTTTTGAAAACATCAATAGCAGTCAAAGGTGTTAAAGCTTGTAAGAAAGCCTCATCCAAAATTTTAGAGATTTGGAAAGCCGTTAGCACTCTGCCTGGCTTATTATTAAAAAACTTTTCTAATGACAAATCATAATATCGTAACAAAGGCGCTATGAAACCCACATCAGTTGGCTGCATTCAGTGGGTGGAATGTGGATTCAAACAAATGATGTGTACATATTTCTCCGTAGCCAAACAAATCACTTCTACATTTTTACATGGCTGCTGTGTTCATCCAAAATTAATAAGATCGAATGGTCTGCACTTGGTTTCGCTTATTGAACAAAACTTTGAAACCATATTAAAAAGAGTTTCATATATTATTTATCCAGCCACCATCGCCACAGAATATTGAACCTGAAGGTGCACCAGCTTGGAGTTCAACTTTCATTTTCTTCCTAACAAAGATTAACATCGGCGGTATAAAGATTTCTAATGATGGCATGCAAAGAATGGTGTTGTTACACCACTTCTATCAGCAGAAGTCAGACATCCAACTTGTTTCCGTCATTTATGCGCCAAGATTTTACTATTATATTTGGGGAATGTACCTAAACCTATTTCGTGATAGTAAAAACACATTGGATTGATATGTTTAAAATCCAAAGTAGTTTTATACAATTTTGCAGCAGATGTTGATTCGGGTTTACGTAATAAAAGCATCGGGTGCCATTTTCGAAACCCATACGCCCAATCTAAACCTGTAAGTTTCTTGGTTTTGTTGTATGAACGGTCTATTTTATTTTTTTGGTATACTGAAAAGCTCGGTAACACAAATTAAGCAAAGTAATTCAATATAAACGCTTCTCCAAGTGTAAGATATAATTATACAATTCTGCTTCCCGTTCTTTGGTAAAACCGTTTTTTTAGAAACCTAAACCCTTTTTAACAGGAGAAATTCTTTTATTTTTTCTTTGCATCTGCGAATTAACGTTGTTTTCGAAATACCAAAAGCTTTACTAGCTTTAGAATAGAACATCTCCCCAGCTTTGACTACTCGGATAGCATTCTTCCAGGCAACAAGAGACTAAGTCAGTTTTCCTCACATAATTTCGTAGTTTTGCCAATTAAAAAAAATAACCGATGTGGTTTACATTGATCCGAAGGCTCGCAATGCCCCATCCTCCCATATGACATTTTAATTTTCCCCTGGATGAGATCAATTCAATTTACCAAATTTCAATACTAAGAGAATGCAAATTCACCAATTGAAATAAATCACATCCAGATCCATATGATAACTACTATCAGACACCTGAGTCTTCATCTTGTTGTTAGATTTTGAGAGACTGTTAAAGGGTCCATATAAAAATAGATAGGATTTATTTAACTCTGGGATGTACTAGTACGAACAACATTGTAAAAATACCACTATTGCACAACAAAGTTATCCTCGATATCTCTTGTTATGCTAAAACCACTCACTTTCACGAAGACTTGAAGATAAAGGTTTTTGAACAAATAATGAGTACTAAGTGTATCAAAAACTATGATTAATAATTATTTTATTGTGTAAATATCATGGCTTTTCAGCTCTTATACCACACAAACTTTTTTGTCATCTCGTTTCACACCATAAAAGTAACGGCAGTATTTTTACTGCTTTATATATTTTCTTTTTTTTTCTGTTCTTCGTCACCATTTTCCACGCATTCCTGAATGTAGATATTTCCCAAATGCTTCCATCTTTGAATGTAGGCCTCACCGAAATGCTTTCATCTTTCTCTATCTTGCTACTGTTTAGCTGCCACTGCTTTTATGTCATCTACTCACACTATTGGTCCTCTTTGGTCTTTACTCTAGGATTCTCCGTGTCCATGTATTATCATCATATCTGGCTATATGACCGATATGATAATATATCGATATCCCTAATCTTCGTTTTACTGATCTCCTGTATCTGATCTCCAAGCATGTTTTGTTCCATTGCCATTTGCGATGTTTTTAGTTTTTACATTTCCTGGTAAGGGCTATGGTCTCCAACCCGTAGGTATAAACTGGTAGTACGTATATTTTATACACCTATTTTTTTAAATATACGAAAGCGGCCAATGTAAGTACGGTTCTTCTTTTAACTTGAGCATCTTGAGTTGGTTTTCACAGTGTGATGACATGGCCCAGGTATACATAATGTTCAACATTTTCTATTATATAGTTTTGCATTGTTATATTTGTCTGGTCGTGGCTCGATATTTTTGTTTTACTGTAGATCATTTTTAAGCTTGCCGCTCAGAAAACTTCATTGTTGCAACTTTTCATTTAGTTCTTTAATATTATCTGCTATTAAAGCTAAGTCATCTACAAACCTCAATAAATTTAAGTATGATCTGTCGATTTTTATACCCATGTTGTTCCATTTTATTTTTAAAATATCTTCTAGAGCAAGACTGAATAGTTTGGGAGAAATGGTGTCATTTACACATTTGTAGACTATAACTAAATTTTATTAAAAAAAGTCATTAACCGTTTACATTTTTTAGTTGTCACTTACTATAAGGTAATATATACAAATGTAACTTTAAAAAACCGTGGTATACGTATTAATTATTCTAAACAACTCAACTTTCAGACTAAAATTCTACTTAAGTAGATAAAAAATTAGCGAAATTAGAAAGATAACTGAACCCACAGGTTGGTAACTGTTTCCAGCGCCGCTTTGATGTCCTTCTGTGGTCGACCCAGTGGATTCTGTGCTCGCCCCACTTGGTTGTGTAGGATATGCGGTTGTAGTGGAAGTAGAAAACGTAGTAGTCGTTGTAAGTTCAGCAGGATCCACAGGTTTTCCTTCTTTGATGGCCAGAGAATAATATTTAGCTGATTTCTTTTCTACTCTTGATGAATTGGTCTCAAATTCTAAGTGTACTGCATATAAGCCAAAATGAGGCCTGGAAGTATTAATAATATTATTAAAATAAAAGAGACACTGATTAGTAAACATTAATACATAAGAAATAGTAATAATAAAAAACTATCATCTTAATTAGAACGGAATTCATACGTCGATTGAATTCACCAGCGTATTCTAGTCTAAGTAGCAGAACCATCTTGAATTTTAAACTACTACGTTAGACTTTTTGTTTTCTGGTCAGAAGTAGTTTGTTTTCTGGTCTGAACCATCGACTATTAGATTATTCACAGGGAAGTGAATGCGATTCGTCCTGCCCAGGTCACTTGGCCATCTGGCCGATATTTTCCCAAATTAATGACTTAGTAAAGAATAAGATAGTGAATCATAAAGTCGATCCTACTGCATCCAGTTGGTCTATTGTAAATCTTCTGTACAATAGATGAACCTATTCTGTGCCAGTCGCTCTGATAAATTCTGGTAGGATGAAACGCGTATAAGCGAATATACAGAGGCACTATACGTGAAATTAAATCTTAACTGTCTTTTCTTTTATTTCGGTTTATCTCTTTATAAGTACAAGAAACCAGTTCACCGAGGATTTTTGCTTAGATGAGGAGATATGTAGTAAAATGCAACTTTTAGATTACCCATGTCTTTCTTACACCTTTTTCATCCTTTTCATCCTGAATTTTGGTTTCGTCAAACAAGAAATCATCGCATTTCTACTTTGGTGATTTGCAAGAAAACTTAAATGTATCGTTTATCTCGTTCTCTATTCATTACGCAAGGTCATGAAGATAAACGTTTTCCATAAATTTTCGTTTTCGTTAAAGTAGTTTTTTCTTTAGTTGTTACTAGTCTTAGCCCCTAATCTGTATGTTTTGAATTAAAATCACGACTCATTATAAATACTACCTACCATAGAAAGGCAACTATTTTTTTATAGTTTTTATTTAATATTATGCTTAGGTGCAAAGTATAGTGCTCCTATCATATTGTTATAATTTTTCGTTCTATTACTGCAGCTATGGACTGTATTTTTTGCAGCTTGGCAGTGTATATGACCTGCGTACATAGAATACTTAATCGAAAAATTTCTATTATATAGTAAATATTGACCGCACAAAGTAATAACGAAATTCGTAGGAAAAGTGGTGTAGAAACATTATAAAACATGTTTTAGCTAAAATTTAATTCAAAGTTGGTACCAATTCGAATACAACAGTGAAGAATAGATGGGAATAAAAGTTTCTCAGTTCAACAGTAGACGTATTTGGTCTAATAATGATGATAATATGGTATGCTCTAATAAATGAATTAAAAGGCCACGCATTGTACTGAATATCTATTAGTTGTAGTTCGACTCACTTCTTTACAGCTGTCGCTTTACTTTTGTTTCCTTCCTAGGTCCGACTGGTCAGAAATATCTCCGTTATCACTGAAGCTGAAGCTTATTGAGCTGCCCATTGTTGCTTCCTACACCCAGTCTAGAATTTTTGTACCCTGTAGAAGTTTGTACAGGTCTTTTGCTTGGTGTGTCCTATTCTATCTCTAGTTGCCCATACAGTTTTTGTCTTTTACGCTTCAGCAGTCTCTCGGTCGCATAATACATGTTTTACAGTTTCTAGTTCCTTATTACAGAGTCTGTAGTTAGGATCTTTACTGTAAATGTCTATTTTATTCAGAATTAAGTTACTGGTGCATGCCCAGTCAACATTTCTGTTAATGCTTTCATTTGGTTCCTATCCATATGAAGCAGTTCCTCTATTTTTTGTCTACATGGTCCGCCAATGGAGATTTCTTGGTTTGTTTTGGAATACTCCCCCAATATCGCTTATGTTATGACTCTCACTGATCCAGTCCTCTACAGCCCAACAAAACTGCAGCCTTTGGTAGTCTCAGAGTTACAGCCGTTTCGTTTGATTCGTTCGATCTCGTTTTTGTAAGTTGATCTGCGTTTTCGTTGCCTTCGATACCCTGATTTCCTAGTACCCAGAAAAGCTCAACCTTGTTCTGTTTTTCCAATTCATTCAGTTTTTTTGATACGTCGCTTTACTTACCTATTGTGTCATTTATTATGCGGTTAAGGGGAAAATTTTGTACATAAAAAGCATGCATTGATAACTCATTGATTATACAAATAAAATATTATAAATCAGACTACAATCAAAGAGATAGTGGTAGAAAAAAAATTCTTCTTCAAAATATTTATTTACTTACATCATTCCTTTCGTCCACTCAAAACTATCCAACAAGCTCCAGTATGTGTATCCAAATACATTGACTTTGTCTTCATTTATGGCATCGGCTACATCAGATAATTGGTCCTGAAAATAAAAACGACCTTAGAATCACCTAATAAATATTCTTCTTTATAGTATTTTTACATTACTTTTCGCAGGATCTTTACCTTAAATGTTATTTTGAATGATTCGCTACTGTTCCTATGTAGGTACCTATTAAAGATATTGAAGAATTGACTTTTTTTATTGTTCTTAAGTTATTTTCTTGTGGAATCTTGACACAATTTACTATTTTTACTGAGAATATACCACAATTCTTTAACAAAGAGTAATGAAAACATGTTAGGATGTTTCGAAAGAAAAATACTGAGGCGAATCTATGGAGCGGTAAATGAAAATGGTGTCTGGAGAAGACGATACAACTTCGAACTCTATAGAGTATACCAGGAACCAGATATCGTAAAACACATTAAGATAGGACGTCTGAGGTGGGTAGGCCATGTAATGCGGATGGAGCAAACCGACCCAGCTAGAAAAACGCTCCTTGATAGACCTATTGGTCAAAGAAGAAGAGGAAGACCCAGAACAAGATTCCTAGATAACATAGACCAAGATATGAGAAATATGGAAATACGTGCTTGGCGGAGGAAGGCGATGGATAGGGACGACTGGAAGAGAATTCTTGGGGAGGCTAGGACCCACACAGGGTTGTAAAGCCAAAATGATGATGATGATGATATACCACAATTTTAGGTTAAAATGTTTATTTTGGCGTTTCAACTTTCACTTGGGAAATCATTGTCTAAATAAAAATTAAACAAATTTTGATTTTGTTATTTAATAATAAAAAAAATATACTATAATAATTAGATGACTTTAAAATGATGCCTATATTTTTTTAGTTGCGTTCTTGGGACAACTGGATTGGAATATAGTTCATTCGATTATATAAAATCAACTTTACTTGAAGAATACCCATCAGAAAAATCATAGCGTGTGATTTGTCTTCAAAAAGGCAAACACATGCAATGATAATAAGTAAGCTTCTCCTGCTAATAATCCCATAGTAAATCATGAGGAAAAAACAGGAATTACTAACCTAATAAAGGGAGATGTCGGAAAAACAACAGCACATTTAATATTAAAATTATTTGTTTCTAGTAAACTACCAAACTAAATACTATCAAAAATTTCATATAACAATGGAAAAAAGCAAAACTTAGAAGATATCAAAAAACCCATTCGATAATGGGCAAAACTCTATGAGATATGTCATAGTAGAGTAAGAAAAATATCGGGAACTTGATATGATAATAAAAAAACAATAGAGGCAATAATAACGTCTGTGGCAATGGCTGATATATACAATGGTCCCGAGTACGGGTGCTATGGAGCAGGATTGCTAAGAATCTCCCGATCTGCTAGAAGCATAAATACATTTTCTGGTGAAAGAAAAATAGGTAATGAAATGTAAGAAGCATGTACGAACCAGGAAAGGTTTACAACGCCATAAAAGAAATAAAAGTACACTAGTACTCTTAAAGGAAATATTTTTTGGACATCTAACTCACGGAGCAAGACACCCTGGCATCTTTCGGTCGAGTAGGATATTATGCCAAAAGACACCAGAGTAGTGCCGGATTAATCGTGTTCCGGCTAAAACCTTAACCACCGTTCCAGAGAGGTGATCTTGTCACTCACTGTCAAACTAAAATAAAAAAAAATATTTCCATTAGGTCATCTTCTTCTTATGGTGCCCTATCCAATTGGTGGATGTTGGCGACAATTCTGGCATACTCCTCTCGATCTTGTGTGGCTCTAAAGACTGCATGTGTATCGAGGTTTCTTAGAGTATGTTTTATAAAAAATGTATGTATTAAAAACATATTCTTATGTTTTTAAGCCATCAGTATTTCTTTCTTCCGATGCCCCGTTTTCCCCCGTTAGGTCATAAACTAATAAATAATTACCATAAATTTCAGATCTTTGGTTCAATTACCTCCTCTGTCCTCATGCTCCTTCTTCTTCATCACCCCAGAAATCAGACATTGTACTTCTCAACATTCTTTCTCTCCTCTCAACATTATGTTTACTATGTTTCCTTCATCCAGTCCGAAACCCATTTGCCTTTCGAAATCTCCCCTCTCATTTGCCTATTTCTGACAGTTAAAATATGGGCGGGAGCGTCCGGTATCTCACAAACAGTACAGTTAGCCAAGGCAGATTTGCCTATTCTATTTGTAAAGGTGCCAAAACTACCATTTCGGTCAGAAACTGCGTCAAAGTAGTTTTCTGAACTTCCCCACCACGGCCTCAGATCGGGAATAACTTTTTCGTTCACTTTGCCTTTTCGCTATCATTCGCCCATTCTCGTTGCCACTTCACTATAGTTCTTTTTCTCTTATTCTCATCTATATTTCCATCCATCCTCTTTGCCTACACCCTCGCTCGCTTTTTGCACAACAAAACGATCGAACTAGATACCCCGAGGAGCATATGGTAATACGGTCACTGGAAACGACAAAAAATGGAAAAACACTTGGCTACGATGAAGTAAGTGCTAAAATACTAAAGTTTTTGGGAGAAAATGTAATTAAAGCACTGTGTGGTCTCTTTAACAAAATTTATGGAACTGGCATATTACCAACTAATGGCTTAAGCCGACATTTGTCACAATACCAAAGAAACATCTTGTAAACACATGCAGTAATTATCGGACAAGTCTGATGAGTTACGTTTGAAGATCTTCCTGCGAGTAAAACATAGCATATACATATCATGTACATAATATTAGAGGAGAGAATTAGCAATACCCAATTCGGATTAAGGAGTGGCTTGGGTACAACGGAAGCCTTGAATCTATGCAATCGATTTTGAAAAAGATTTTTCAGACAAGCTTTCAGCTGCTGTTTCAGACAAGCTGTTTGACATAACAAACTGCTAGAAATATTAAAAACAGCTTGATTGGCAGATAAATATTTACGAATAATAATTACAAATCTATACTGGCGTCAAGTGGCAAGAATAAAATAAACAAAAGCTGTCGAATGAAATACATATAAAAAGAGTAGTGAGACAAGGCTGACAAGAAAAACATATAGTCAGCCAAAGGTACCTAAAGTTAAGTCAAAAATGATATTTTCGGACACCTAATGCGTGGTCAAGAAGAGGAGTTTTATTGAGTATGGCAGGCCTATAAGTTTACACTACCTGTGCCATCAGATGTGCGTAACTGCATTTATCATCTACAAAAAAAAACATAACCTGTTCTAATAGGTCCTGAATAGACTTACCGCTAAGAATGTAACTCTATGATCATCATTGCAGGTTCCGTTATCATCTGATATCCCACCAGCTGTTATTAGAATTTCAGGATCGTTATAGTTGTTCTTGAGATACTTCAGTAGGTTTCTCAGGCTACCTGGAGCAATCTAGAAACAAAAACATATAAACCATGAATACAATATGTTTGTGTGCACTTACAGCGTGATCATCAGCGTCGACAGTCCACTCAGGATCATTGGAAATTTTGACTCTAAGATCAGAATCGTAGCTGGGTGTTCCGATTTCAGCTTCTTTGTCGTCAGCAACTAATTTTGTATCAAAGAAATCGATCGCCATAAAATCAAATGTTCCCTTTATTGCATCTCGTTCGGTTTGGTTCAAGAGGGGTAATCTAGACTCTTGTCTTCCTTCTGCTTTGCTTCGAGTGTCAATCCTGTCAATCACAACTTGAGGCCAGTTGCCAGTTTTAAATATTGGATCAGCGTAGAGTCCAAACTAAAACACAATTCATCAATATAAGGTTGAATGTTCGAATAAATGAACTTTGATGGTACACAAGGCAAATATCGAACACAGTATTTAATCAAATCTTGCCCAAGTACTTTCGATCACAAGATCATCTTCAGGGGCATTTCGTCAGTTGTGGCCTATCCAGCAGTAACAGAATGTCATAAATGTAAATTGGGACATAACAAATACACTAAACAAAGACAAACAAACACTTTAAAATTTAAAAATTGGAGAAGCTACATTTTATATAGAAGCCGGAGACAGAATTCATTCAGTAGCTTCTCCAATTTTTAAATTTTAAAGTGTTTGTTTGTCTTTGTTTAGTGTATTTGTTATGTCCCAATTTACATTTATGACATTCTGTTACTGCTGGATAGGCCACAACTGACGAAATGCCCCTGAAGATGATCTTGTGATCGAAAGTACTTGGGCAAGATTTGATTAAATACTGTGTTCGATATTTGCCTTGTATACCATCCAAGTAAAACACAATTACTTATTGTAATATTAAAATAATAAAATTTTTTAAAAAAGATATGATATATGAAAAAGTAACTTATTGTATTGTTCTGAAGCTATTTTCTTGTGGCATTGTAAATTAATTACTATTTATAACTGGGAATAAGCCACATTAAAGATAAAAATACATTTATTGACGTTTCAATTTCCAATTCGGAAATCGTTCTCAAAATACAAATAGTAAATTAAACAAATTTTGTTTTTTGTTACATAGTGAAAAAATTCTTCTGATAATTTAATTTTATCTGACTCATTTATATTGACAATTCAGACATACATTATGCATTTTAAAGTAGACGACTTTAAAATGATATTGCCAATATTGTTGAGTTGCGCTCCTGGGACGACTTTACTTATAAGATAGTTCATTCGATTACATGAAATCAACTTTAACTTGAGAATATCCGTCAGAAAAAATCATAGCATGTAATTCGTCTTTAAAAAGACAAACACATGACATGATGACAGTAAAATTCTCCTGTTAGTGATTCCATAGTAAATTATGAGGGAAAAACCAGGAAAAAAAACCTCATAATACTATCCCGACATTGTAAGTATTTGTTCGTGAATTTAGTTTACCTTCAACAAACATCAAAATTCTGATTTTATGTTACGTTATTTAAAAAACATAAATGATGTATCCTCTATATGTTACTGACTTACTAATACTGGTATTTTCTTATTAATAACTTCCTCTTTCAATATTGGTAACCAGATCCTACTACATTCTGCCGAGGAATTTGCGACACAATTGGCCTCATTTAGCATAATTAGAGCCGCTTCTTTGATTTTTCTTTTTTTACCATCCGTTTCTTTTAGGACTATATTTGAATTATTCCATTGAACTCTATGTTCATTATCCCATGCGTGTTTACATATTTGAGATCTATCAAATTCTCTATTTTTAATATAAGATTGATGTTCACTTATTCTAACATTTAATGGCCTTGATGATTCACCTAAATAAAACTGATCGCATTCACAAGGTATTTTATAAAATTTTAAAATTTAAAATTTATAGAATTTTGATGTTTGTTGAAGGTAAACTAAATTCACGAACAAATACTTACAATGTCGGGATAGTATTATGAGGTTTTTTTTCCTGGTTTTTCCCTCATAATTTACTATGGAATCACTAACAGGAGAATTTTACTGTCATCATGTCATGTGTTTGTCTTTTTAAAGACGAATTACATGCTATGATTTTTTCTGACGGATATTCTCAAGTTAAAGTTGATTTCATGTAATCGAATGAACTATCTTATAAGTAAAGTCGTCCCAGGAGCGCAACTCAACAATATTGGCAATATCATTTTAAAGTCGTCTACTTTAAAATGCATAATGTATGTCTGAATTGTCAATATAAATGAGTCAGATAAAATTAAATTATTAGAAGAATTTTTTCACTATGTAACAAAAAACAAAATTTGTTTAATTTACTATTTGTATTTTGAGAACGATTTCCGAATTGGAAATTGAAACGTCAATAAATGTATTTTTATCTTTAATTGTGGCTTATTCCCAGTTATAAATAGTAATTAACTTATTGTATTTCCAATAGAAATTTTTTTTTTAATGTTTTATTAATCTTAGCCTTTTATCTAATAAGAATACGCTTTCGTTAGAGAAAGCAGAGACTCTGGTGTGTTACGAAACTAAATTGTGAACTTATATTGTCCTCGATTTGTTCTTTGGTAGCTTCTACAGCAACAGAATAGATGTTTTTTGAGTATATAAATAGATATATATATATATATGAAGGGTGATATGATGGTAAAGGACACATCATATATGAAGACCGATAAGTAATTAACCGATGATCAGTGGACCTCAAACAGTGGCTTTAAAATTTAATAATTCTATTCACTTGAAAAGTAAATGATTTAATTTTCTATGTTTTATGTTCAGTAAGAATGTTTGATTTTGTTCTATTTAAAGCAAATTAACTCAGTATATTATTTACGAGTATATACAATTTATTACACACAGTAAAATTTATTTTATTAATGACATTTTAAAATTCTGTTCTCTTCATTCTGTTTACATACTATGCTATGCTAATAGTCCATTGAAAAGTTACACTTTTGAGATAAAACAATATTTTTCTTTTTTGATATGTGGGGGTGATAAGTATGCGCTTAAGTAGAGTCACCCTTGTCCCCTACCGCCGTCTTGGTAAAAAGGGGGCAAAGGATTTTCGCGCTGGTCTCGTAAATTATCTCCTCCTTCTCCTAAGTACCTTCTCTATTGAGGTTGGCGATCAATATGGCAAATTTCTCTCTGTTCTGGGCTTGATGGATTAAGTCATTTCCTGTTGTGTGAGTCCAATCTCTGATGTTTCGGAGCCAGGATTTCTTCTTTCTTCCTATACCCCTTTTACCCTCGATTTTGCCTTCTAATATTACCTGGAGCTGCTCAAATTCCTTATGGCGCATTATGTGTCCTAGATATGACGTCTTTCTAATTTTGATTGTATTAACCAGATGAGGTCGTGTGTTCATTATTTCCAGTACCTCTTCATTTGTAGTTTTGCTGGTCCAGCTTATTCTTAGCATTCGGCGGTACATCCACATTTCGAATGAATTCAGTTTGTTGACGTCATACTGTTTTAATGTCCAGGTCTCACAGCCATATAGTAGTAGAGACCACACATAACACTTTAGTGTTCTTAACCTTATTGTGATTGATAGCTTGGGGTTACAGAGCATTTTACGCATGTTCATGAAGCCAGATCTTGCTATTTCAATACGTCTTCTAATTTCTTTTGAGTGGTCTAGCTGACTGTTTAGCTCTCTGCCCAGGTATATGAAGCTTTGGGAGCTCTGAAGGGTGATACCATTGATTTGTATGTTGGGTGTAATTTGTTCATGGGGGTTCTTGTGGAATACCATGATTTTGGTTTTGGAAAGATTAATATCCAAACCTAGTCTGTGACTTTCTTCTGATAGTATGTTCATCAATATTTTTAGTTGGTCTTCTGTTTCTGCTAATACTACGGTGTCATCGGCATATCTTACATTGTTAATGATGATTCCATTGACTCTGGCACCTTCAGGGCGATCTTCAAGAGAAGCTCTGATGATATTTTCGGCATAGACATTAAATAGAAGAGGGGACAGAATGCACCCTTGACGCACTCCTCGTTCTATGTTTACATAATTGGTATTTCCGTTGTCTGTTCGAACACATCCTGTGTGGTTCCAGTATGTATTGCTTATTATAGCTATGTCGTGTCCGTCCAGCCCTACTTCTTTTAGCACCTCAATCAATTTTTCGTGTCTAATGCGGTCGAAGGCCTTTCTATAATCGACAAAGCACACATACAGCTGTTTTTGAACCTCGAGATACCTTTCTGCCATTAGTGTCAATCCCATTATTGCTTCTCTGGTGCCTGTACCTTTCCTAAAACCATATTGAGAACGACTCAGGTATTCTTCACACTTATTGTGAATGCGGTTATAAATTACTCGCATAAAAATCTTAGCAGCATGACTCATTAGGGATACAGTTCGATGGTCTTCACATTTCCTTGCTTTTTGTTTTTTAGGAAGAGCTACATATGTGGATGTTAGCCAGTCATGCGGTAGAGTGCCATGTTCATATATAATGTTAAAGAGGTAGGTTAATTTCCCGACAGCATCATCACTCAGGTGTTTAAAATGTTCGGCTGTTGTTAGATCTTCGCCGGGTGCCTTGTTGTTCTTTGCGTCTTTTATTGCCCGCATAACTTCTTCGGTTAGAATACTTAGTTTTCCATCGGTATCTATTTGTGGGGCCCTTCTGCTCTCCGATCACCAAACAAATCAAATTACCAATACCACAGAAAATTTTACAAAACATTATTTGTAGAAAAGTAAATTGTCTACAACTTTATTTATATTATTGTTGATCGTAAAATTGAAAATAAAAAGTTATAAACAAAAATTTTTGGAAACTTTTTTTTAGGCCTTATAACAATTTGAACGATTACACAGAAGAGAAAGTTACTCATATGTGTACTTGAACAGCTACTAACAATATTGTAATTTAATAAAACTCGTATACTAATTAAGCTTTTATGCTCCAGAACACAGTAAAAAGGGAGAATTATTGAAACAGACCAAGTAATTAGAATAAGTAATTTAAATTTTATCATTTTAATATCATTTGAGATACTTATCTATAGAAAATAAATTAAAAATCACGATCTTCCTCTTTAGATATAAATAATGAGTCTTTAATTAAGAGCTTCGTATCTGTAAATTTAAATAAAACAAAGCATATTTGAGATATCATCGAAATTTTTTTGTGTTTGAAATACCTCTCGATGTACGGAAAACAACATTGTTCAAATTTACGTCACGGCTTAACTGAGTGGTGCGCATCCAAATGACTCTGGTGCATAAATTAGGATGAATTTGACCGATGTGATGACAAGGATTATGTATGCTTGGAGAGCCGTTCTGGTTTGAGGCTTTTTTGCATAG